CCATTTTCTCAGTCCAGGCAATAGGATAGACTAAAAAGCAAAAATATCTCTAAAAAAATCAAAGTATCAAAGGTGTTCATTAAGATTTAAATCAAAACCCTCTGATTCTTTGGATTTCTGTTGGTAGTAATAATTTTGATATATTGTCATTGATAAGTGCTACTTAATAAAGCATCACTAATTTTCTCAACAGATTTTACTGATACATGCCATTTTCTGCAAAATTAAACATACTGTCATAAAACTGAAAACAATGTTCATAAGTCCAAAAGATTGGTTTGCTTTCCATCACAGTTCAGCTACCATGTGATATTTCAATATATGACAATTATTTTCTGAAAGTATTTTTTTTAAGAAAAGACCATACTATAACAAGATTATATAACATTTTTTTATTCTGTTTTGGTATGGAGAATAGCTTTCAGAGTAATGAAGAATTTCAGTACAAGTATTAAAGGTGCATGATACTTTGAATGGGTGTGGAAGCTATTCTAAGCCTTCATACAATGCAACTCACAATGTCAAAAGACAATACTTGGCATTCCAGGTTGTTATCAGGAAAGCTCTAGATAGTTTATTGCATGTTGATTGTATTGATTACAGCTGGAGGCATTGATAGCATAAACAGAGTGTCTTTAATTAGTCAGAATGTGTGATTAGCTTTTCTGTTTTAAGGAGATGAACTAGCTTCTTAAAGAAGTTCCCCCCAAAAATATTCTTTATTTAGTCAGAATAAAAACACAATAAAGGGGAACACAGGCCAGTCTGCATTTCTCAGAATATTGCTGCTTGTCTCCATGCTGGGCTCTACTTTTAAGCAAGGTCTACAAATTTTTCAGGATTTTTGTTTTTGTTGTTGTCGTCATTAAATGAACTCATACACACTCTCACACACACATGCTTTAGCTGCTTCCTAAAAACAACTGCAGACTTCATTGTGGAAAAGTCCATCTTGACTGCTAGACTACAGCTTCTACCAGAATTACCACTGTAAACCCACTTTTCAGAAGTTTATCAATCAACTGCCAGTATTTACTCTCTACTGCAATTTGGCCAAGAAGATTTCAGCACACATGAGATTTTTTTTAAATTTGTTTTCAATATTTTGGGAGAAGTTGATTTAAACATTGCTAACTAACTTGTGGAAGTAATAAACCAGTTTTTAATATATATTGTGTGAAATGTTTCAACCTTAAAAGTAATATTAAGTCAACAATGAGTCCCTAATACCCTAGTGTTTTGATTACTTGCCTTGGTGAGAGGGGTTTGAATAGCAAAACTATTAGTTTTCTTGGATATTGAAAGAAAAAAACATGAACTGAATCTAGACTGTCTTAATAGGAAATATTAAATTTGCCTGCACATCTTTGCTGCCTCTCATAAATAAAAACTCCTTTGCCTCCCTCTGGAACCATCAAAATCCCTAGATCTTACACTTGCACCTCCTAGAGAAAATAATTCATCTACTGAACCAGATGCATCAAAATAAATAGAAAGATGAAACTGAACAACTCCTTTACACAAGAACTGACTCCAGTAAATGAAGGACAAGATCAAAGACAAAATCATCCAGCTACTCACAAATCATCCCATCTCTGATTTCTCAGACTTCATCTTTCAGGAAGATCTTCCAGAGATGAGACTTCAAAATAAAATTCATAAATTTTCTAAGTAATAAGAACTATTAGTTTAACAGAAATACTGGTTTAATGACACATGATTACCTCTCTCCTTCAGTGTTCTCTAAATGGATTGTCTCTTTTCCAGTGGAGGTAATTGCCTTATCTTTCCTTCCTTCTTACTAACATCCTCTCTGCTTTCCAGGTACGAACTATTTTCTTTAGAAATTCTCTGGTACATATTTTGTATGAAAAACGCGTATCTTTAAACTCTTCTGTTTTGTGCCAGACCTGTAGAACTGCATATATACTCTAAAGCTTCTTTACTTTTCTAACTACATTTTTTGGTCTGACTGAGACAGTGCCTGCTTCTAAAGAGAATTGTCTTTCCTCTGGCCTTGCGCCACTTTTGCTTCAGCAATCTTCCTAGCAGAAATATTTTCGTTCTCCTCCAGATCTCAGACATCACTGTCTTTTAAAAAAGCTGTAGTGAATTTGGAAGAAAGGGTAGCTTGGGAAGCGGAGATGTAGATTAGCACTAATAGGTCTTCCTTACCTTCTCTGAAATTGCCACAGTTTCTCCAAGCGATTGCCTTTGCTGACATTGTGTTTCAGTGCAATTGTAGAGAATCAGGTAAGTGATAATGCTTCGTGCTCTCTGACTACATCCTATGAGCATGGTCAGATTCTAGTGTTAGAATTATGTTGGCTGATTCTGAGGCAGCACACACCACACATGCAAGTGGCAGAAATGGAAAATACTTTCTACCATGCCACTGGATATCATAGCATGCATTTAACTGTTATTCCTAAAAACTTTTGAAGCTTTGGTGTAAACAAAGAGTCTTTGGCTATATTCAGGGAATGCAATATGGTGAGCAATGACAGAGAGGGCTAATAATGAGATGTCTAGACAAGCATATTGCTTTGTGGATTAGTTGTACCAGTTCTCACTGGCATTAGCTGAACAGCAGAAGAGGAAAAGGGTTGGTTGTGAAGTTAGCCATATATGTGAAAATAACATGATGGTGTAAAAAAATTTTGAAGTATTTTTTTTACATATTGAAATGATGGAAAATTCAATATCTCTTCCTTTAAATCTGCTATACTGCTTGCTGGATTTCTACACCAGCAGTTCTGTTTCCTGAGGCAGAAAATTAGTTTTTTCCATTTTGACTGAAAACAGATAGGTGGTTGTCCCCTGATTCACCCCAGATTATGCACACATGCCAACAGGAGATGATGTGGAATCAATAACAAGTCCAGAAGTAGCAGAAAAACTAACCAAAAAAAAAAAAAGCAATTGGCATATTTCAGCAATTAAAACACATGACTGAGCCTTGCCAGTTCTCTCTGTCAGAAGCAAATCTTACATGAGATCATCAAGGCTTTTCAGAAGGTAGAAGTATGTTACCTGTTTACTTGGTGTTGGACAGTTGAGTTGAGACAGTTACAGTCTGGCAATGTAAAGAAATCTGTCAAGCTTTGGAAAAACTCATCCTTTCTAGGAGAAGCCATGGATGTTGAAGTTACCTCTACAGCTCTGGCTAATCTCCCTGGCCTCTAGCACAAGTTTGCATGCATAATGTTGTAGTGCCAGCTGTTGGAACAGCCATGGTCAGACATAAGTTGAATCAACCCCAAACCAAGTTTAATTTACTCTGTAGAGCTGCACTGTTCCCATCAGCATGAAGCAAACATAAGGGAATTTAAAGACCCCTTTTCCCTTCCATTCCCCTTGCCTTGCAGTAAAATAAGTTGTTCAAAAAGGATGGATCTGGTTCTATCAAAATGAGATGATTTACTGAGGCTCCTCGAATTCTGTGTTTTAAGTGTTAACTTGCAATTATTTAGCCTAGTTAATGGTTATATGGAAGCTTTAATGTGTTGCAGCTCTTTACTGTTGCAGAGGCGAGATGGGAACTTAAGGAAACATCAGCTATGCACAGTGTACAGAGATTAATTTCATATATGAAAAGAATTACAAAACATGGTCGCCTGCACAAAGAATGTTTTAACTTTGTAGCTTAGATGTGTCTTTCCAGGGCTATCCTTCTCTGATAGTATAATGTGAGTGACTTCTTCAGTGAAAAAATCTGCAGTTCAGTTTGCAATAAAAAGCAGTAACAATAAAAACAACTGTTCTGTTTTCCTTTTTTTGAGCTGTAACAATCAAAGACAGTGTATCATAAAGTGGTATATGTGAAATGAACTTTGAACTTTGCATGAATGTATGATAACGTGAAAATCATTTTTAAAAGCTATCACAAAGTAGTGTTCAGGAGAGACATAAATTGCCTATTAAATTGAGTAAGTGAAGAAAATCCATACTCCCTCCTCTATAATAAAGATCCCATCAAAATTTTTTTCTTTACAGAAGCAAAATAGATGTGTGACAGCTGTGATGAGTCCTCTGTATAGTCTTGCCAGTACCTAAAATCATGTTATGCTCAGTAACAAATTTTTATTTACAACGTATAACATTTTATAACAATAAAATTGTTATAAACAATTATTTATAATGTATTTACATAACAAAGCTTTTTTCCAGTATCAATAATACTATCAACAATAACATCCTGACAATCCAATGTTTCCTTCTTAAAAACACTAGAAAGCTGTTAGTAATATTATTCTTAGCTCTGATCACTAATTCCATCCCTTTATTGAAAAATCTTAAATTAAACTGGAAAGATTAAATTATTTAATACAAATCAGCTGTCCCACAGTTCATGACCACTGAGTTGGTATCACACTGTTAGTGGCATCCATTTCATGTCTAAGCTCAGCTCTAACTTGCCAACCATCCACACTGTGAATGATATACTACTTGCTATGTCACCCTATTAACAGGGAGCTCCAAGCAGTGCCAAGTCAGTGGTAACCAAACACATCTCTTGTGATTGTCTTTAAGGCTTTTTCCTTAGAGAGGGTAAGGATTTTTAATCAAATTGACCCCCATAGTCTCCCATAAAACACAGGTTGTTCATCCCAAGTCTTTATTCCTCAGAAAAAGACTCTCATGAGTTCTACAGGCTTTCAAAATATAGCTCTGTAGGTTATGGATCACACCTCATGTAGACCTTTTGCTGAGGGAGCAATACCAGCTGAAATCTGCAAAGCGAACCTGACTTAAAACACAGATTTTAGTGTGAACAGAACAGGTGAAAAGGCTGAGGAAGGAAGGAAGCCTTAATGTTTAAGAATTGTATTAACTCTGAAGTTTGTGTTTATAATAGTAAAATCCAGCTTGATTTTTGTTTCATCATGCTCAACAACCTGCAATTTCCTTTGATTTTTTTTTTAATAATCAAAAGAATGTGAACAAACAGGAACACAAACTGTGCTTTTAGGAATGATATTTTGGTTTGTGTTTTTCAGGGACTGGTTGAACCTGTTCAGTCCTCCCATCATTCCTGGAAGCCAACAACTGGAAGAGCACACTAAATCTTCAACAAATCAGAGTATTCCAGGTAGGAATTTATGAAGACAGTGAAAGGGACCTGGGTAGAAAGACATTTCTAAATGCTGTTTCTGTACTCTTGGTGCTGCCTTTTCGTAGTTTTCTATACTGATACATTTTGGTTCCAAGTTCTCTTATTTATTATTCTCAGCTCAAGCTAGCAGAGTTTTCCATGCAATATTATTTGCCTCTGATAAAAGAATAACTTATGCAGTTGCAGTTTCCTAATGTTCTGGCTTGATGCCAGTTAACTCATAAAAACTGCATCTTATTTGTTTAAAATAAGGAATTTATGCTAGCGGGGGTGGCAAACCTATGAAAGAAAGAATGCAAAGACTAAACATTCTTATTCAGAAGCACAATTACACTTATGTAAGTGATACTTCTCTTATGAAGAAAAATTTCAGATTTAGTCTTAAATGAAATCTCAGTGTGATTTCCTGAATAAAGACTGTTGTCACCACCTAAAGTGTTATAAGTTTTTGTTTATTAATGGTGTTTGCTTAGAGAACAGCAGAGAACTCAGCTGAAACTGGAAAATCAACAAGAACAGAAAAAACAAATACCTTGTTTTCTTCAAATGCCCTTTTTTCTTATCAGTTGGCTTAGGAAACAGGGTAGATATCTACATTTTTCTTCAAGTCTGGGCAATTCAATGTGAACTCTCATAAATCTGACCTGTGTATTTTGGCTGCCCAAGGGATGAAGATGTCTCAGTGATTTGCTGTCTAAAATAGATTATGCCCCTCAAATTGGGAGTGTTTTCATAGATGTATATTTGTAATTGTTTATGACAGCAAAATAGAATTTTGCTGTCAGGAAGGGACCTTGCTTTGAAGAATCAAATAATATGTTTTGTAAAGGGTCCTAAGTAAGCCAAAGAGAATAGGACAGTAGTCCTTGAGTTAAAGGCATGTTGGATATAAATTTGTGATAGGCCTCTGAGAATTTTTTTATGTTAGTATTATGAAATACAAGGCTTGCTGCAGTAAAGCTGGAATTTCTGCAAATTTTAAAAATTGTATTATTATCTTTAAAAAGCTTTAAAAAAGAAGTATAGTTGGGAATTTGTTGGATTTCTTCTGTTATTCACACTAGAATTTCCAAACTGTGTTGTGAGTTGTTCCTAATCTCATTTTCCTTTAAGCTGAAATTTTTACATCATTTGTCCGTGATTGCGCATTTGGAGAACAGAAAATCTCTATATACCATAGCTTTTTATTTTGGCCTTTTATTTTTGTGCCTTTATTCAATCAAATTAAATTCTGGCTCGTGTATGTATGATATTGGTAATTTTGATAACTTCACACAGAAAGTTTTCTATCTCCAAATAATCAAAAAAACCTGCCATAATGGAAGGCCTGATGGGCAAAGTAAGGGGGTACCTCTATAGTATACAGTGTCTTCAAGCAATTCCAAGCCTCCCTTTCTGATTGTGTACAGTCCTTGGAAAATAATGTCCTTGCACTATATTAACAGAAAACTGACATGGTTTTGCTCACATAAAAGATACCCTTAAGTGAAACACAGACCTTTGGACATAATACGGTGGTGTGTGAAAATGCAGTGCCATGTAATACATGTAATGCTTATCAGATTAGATTGTACCCATCAAACATCCGAATCTGTGTGTTTTCCTAGATAACTTTGTTTAAAAAAATCTTGATGGACCATGGTAACTAGATGGTTTGGAGTATCATTTTTTAAAAAGATGCAAAATAGGTCATGTCCTGTGATATATCTCTAGCACTTTGAAAAAAGCTTTTTTTTTTCTTAATCATTTCACTTGCGGTTAGTTATTTGTGTGAAAAAAGAAATGTTTTACTACTGACAATTAAGTACCAGATCTGATCAACAAACTGAATGCTCAGATTAATTCCAGAAAATTCTGCTGCCCTACTCACCTTTTTTTTTTAAATATCACATTATAAAATGAGTTATTTCTCATCTTGGGAAGTGTCTTAAGTGTCACAAGATTATTTTTTGTGTGTGTGCAGTTTTCCAGTATTCCGAGTATCACAGGATAGCAAAAGCATGTTATCAGTACTGAAAATCTGCAGTGAATCATAATCTATTCAAGATATTAATTTTATCTAGAAGTATTCTTAAAGAAAAATAGATAGTATAGCATTAGGATATTTATAAAGATTTTTTAATTCTTGTATTTAGAAAAAAATCTTTTAAGTTGGGGCATAACTTTGGGGAAAAAAGGTGATTCATTTCTAAGAAAGCATTTTATTCTACAGTTCCTTTCTTAACCTTTGTACCATCCATAGTACATAGTTAAATAGGGAGATGTAATGAGTAGTCTTCTATTCAACAGGTTTCACAAGGCAATCAAGAGGAAAATGTAGACTCATAAATATGATAAATTTCCATAGATTTTTCCCTTACTGGGCATTGATATTTCTGATTTACAGACAATTTCATTTATCTTGACATAACAAGTCATACAAGGAAGTTTCCACAGTAAGTGACAAAGGCAGAGCCATAAATTCTCTGGAACTTTATTGTATCTTGTTACTTGTCTTAAGATAGTGGTCTAGGAGCCACAGTACTGAATAGTCTTCTTTCTTGGACTACAGCTGTTGACAGTAGTCATATGGTAGCCCTGCAGTACATAATTACAGCATAGATTTGAGCACTGCAGTTCAATGTTCAAGGATCATATTGGAGAAAATATTAGGAGTGTTCTTTTCAACATCCCTTCTGCTGACAGCTGATCCAGTGCAGTTGACTTGTATCAGGGTCAGAATATGATCTATGTATCTTAAAGTGAGGTTTGCTACAAGCTATTTTCTAGTATTAAAACTTAGAATACAGTGAAAAAGGAAACCATTTTAGTTCTCCAGACTGTGGTGACTATGTAAAAAATAACACAGTTATTTGTACGTTTATTTCAGAGTTCATATAAAGCTGCTATATGCCTCCTCCATTCTTTGTTATCCAGGTTTAGACATCTTGAGCAAAAGCCTTTCTCCTTAAAAACAATAGCTCCCCTGATTTCAGTGGGGCAGCATTTCATTTAATATGACAGTTATTCAGAGGTAGTAACTATCTTCAGTCTTCTTTCAGCTCAGAACTAAAAAATACTCATCCCTCTATAATCTACAGCACAGACTTCAGTTTTTGTTTAAAATCAGGTTATTTGCTAGCCTCAAATACTGTTTAATTTTTTAGTGATTTAAGAACAAAAGCTTTGATTTTGCTTTCACCATGATATTCAAATTAAACTGTCAAGAGGTTTTTTCATGCAATCCTGAGCAGCTTCAACCTCAAAAGCATGGATGGTGGCAGCATAAACAACTATGGAAATTTTCTTTGAAAGTGACTTGTTTATCAGTTAATTTGGCTGTGGATACTTCATTCCTACATATGGGCAGGTTGTACACAATATACCATTTGAAAGTAGAAACATGCCTTTTAACACAGCCATTACACATTAGTTGAGTCTTGTAGAAGAATGTCACTTAATTCAATTAGTACTTCTTTTTAGAAAGTAGAAGAACAGAAGTGAGGTTTTCATACATTTTTTTAATCTGTTCAAAACTTAATAGTCCATACTTCCATTGGAAATCTGTTCCAACATATAGAAACACCTTAAAATGCATTTGCAGATATTGTGAGATGCTAAAAGAAGCCTAACTTTAAAAAGAAAATACATCTAGAAAACTAAGTTCTCATTCAAATGGAAATACATGCAAGGAATTATTGCTATAAAGCTATCAATCCAGCTAGTCCTGGTTGCAATCTAATTCTGATTTGGTATGAATTCAAGGCATACAGGCAAAGAGGTATACACCTGATGAGGCTGAAGAATTTCTTATTCCTAAATCAAACCAAGGAGTATATGGGGAGGCCAGTTCTAAGGTGAAGAGGTAAGGAGATTTAAGCTTGGAGAAGAAAAGAGAATCATTTTGAAGAGAAGCATAGGCAGGGAAAAGCAAACTAATAAAAGGAAGAATTCAGTGGAAATAACAACATGGTTTCAGGTGAAAATGTAAGGCTATGTGAGGGAATGAGGCATGAATACCATTTGCTTGTGTACTATGATCTGAAGTGTAGAAAAAGACATTCAGTTCTACGCCTTCTTTCTGCACTGCATAACTTTTCCCAAGAGCTATCCAAACAAAATATCTCAGTTAACCTCATTTAGCTTACCAGGCCTTATGAAGTACCCGCAGCAGGGAGGGCAACAATTTAGCTTTACCTTTTTACCTTCGGTTACAGCAAAAGTTTCTTTCTGATGGCATTTGTTAATGCTACTGAGGAGACAAAAATGAAATCTCTTCCAAAATGATAAAGTGCACGCTTCTTCTGTATGCATTAAATGCACCAACCTACTTTCTGGTCTCTAGATAATGTAACCTATATATCGTTGTGTGATCCTGGCTGTAAATAGATTCTGAGCATTGTGAAACTGCTGCTGTTAGCATAACAGGCCATTACTTATTATGACATGTTAGGGCATACAAAGCATTGAGCTTTTGTATTAGCAGTCTGAGAACAAGATGAACATTTGTGATGGAATTCAAGATACAGATTGTGTTCAACTGTGCATTTCCTATCAAAAAGCTATAGATCATGTAACTTAGATTTAGCTTGTATGAAAGACAGACAGGTTTAGAAAAGGAGCTACAATACATAAAGTGTCTGTAATAAAAGTCTCTGTGGCTTTATTGGGGTATTTTAGGCTAAGGATTAGTTTCTGTTACCTGAAAGCATTCTTGCATTTTACATAACTTTAGACAACCTAGATTTAAAATTTTTATTGTCTGAAACAATCTTATTTCCTCTCTGATATTGAAAGCTCTTTTGTATGGATTTACTTATACTAGACATTTAGGTGACATACTGGATACCAGACATATATGGAAACAAATTCTTTCATTCTTACAGGCCTTAAGTATGCACTGACTGTCTTTGTTCATGCTAAAACATTACTGTTTAAGGTCATTGAGAAAAATACCACTTAGGAATACTTTGATGCACTGTCAGTAAAGGTACTTGTGGTGAACTGCTCCACTGGACTTTGTAAAGTCCAGTCATTAAGCAAACACTGACTGACATCATTTCACCTCAAATAAATACAAGTCTTCGGAAATATAGTAAAAACGTGAATTGCTGTTATCTTGAAGGTAACAATTCAGAAGATTACACACTTTAAAGAAAAATTCTGTCACATCTGACAGGTATTTCCATGTTATTGTCTAAGTGAATAAGAGTGATTTATTCTTACTTTTCCCACTTGGCACAGGTGAAGACCTCAATGCTGAAGAAGATGAGGAAGTTTTGACTCTTTTGTATGATCCATGTCTGAACTGTTACTTTGATCCAGATTCTGGGAAGTACTACGAATTGGCATAGTCAGATCATGAGAGGATATCATTTTGTCTTCAGAGTAGGTTTATCTTTTAACTGTTTGTAAAGCGTGACTGAGCTGTATAATTTATCATGTAACTTAAAACTTGAATTAACCAATAATTTTGCAAACAAATAAATATATTTTGTAAATAGTGTCTTATTTTTATAGTTTTGTATTAAGTTGTAATGCAGTGGAAAATCACATAACATAAAAGTTCCTTGTGACCAATACATTTATTTGTTAGTCTATTTCCAATATTCAAAGGTTCTATATGGAAACAAATGAAGTTGAATCAAGGAGGTTTGTGGTGTTTATCTGTAAATTGTGGTTTTACTCAAATAAAAAAAAAATTCATTACTTGCTTACTGTGTATTTTTAATTGGGTCTGAGCTATCTTATTCTTTGTACTTTAAGATATACAGCATGTTGTTCAAAGGCCTCCATTTCATAAGCTCACTCTCTCCCTTTAGTCATCAGAGAAAGCAGTATTTTCCTTCTCTTCAAGACATTCTCTACTGTTGCATATTACAGTAATGGGATGATGTCAAAGCTATACAGTGGTACAGTTTGGTGCACCTTACGGTGTGTGCATGGGCAGTTTATAAATCTAGACCACAACAGGGTAAATGGCAGGCTCTGAGAGTGCCAGCTACTGTCTACTTTGCTGACGTAATTTAACATAGGACTGAAGAGCAGTAAGAGTAATTGCTTCAACGCTCAAAAATTGGAGCCTTTTTTCATGTAAGGCAAGAAGGTGTGTATATGATTCATATGGGAAGCTGTGTTCAGAGTGCAGGTCTTACATGTTTGTATTAGTTTTTCCATTACACCTTGCAATAAAAGAAAGTAATTTATTTAACCGCTCTGTATTGGGTTTTAGTCCAGTTTTCAGTGAGGGTCCTGAATTTCCAACTTAGAGTTTTAAATTGCCTGCGTCACTGTGCAATTTTTTTTTCCTGTGGTATATAAAATATCCCTTATTGACCATGGAGAAAGACCATAGATATAAACCAGACTGTACACAGCCTTTGAAAATGAAATCATTATATGAGATGAATAAAATACTGTGCATGGAGACATGTCAAGCTTTGTCTGTTCTAAAAACCAGTTAACCTGATCCTGATGTTTCTGCATTGCCATGGCTGCTACTTGGCTCCAAGCAGTACCCGACATTTCCAGCCCCAGTGCAAGGGAGATTCTGCAACACTGTGCAGTGCTGCTTGCCACTACTGGCCCCCCGCAGCCGACAGGACACTTGCTCAAAGGGTAAATAAATGATTAAAAAATCAGCTGCCTGGTATTGAAGAAAAGGTGTCGGGCAAGGGTTGCCCATGAAACAACAAGTCCAAAGAGTTGTGTTGTAATGCAGTTGAGTTAGTGGAACAGCTTTGAAGTCCACCAGTTCAGTACATAACAGTTTTCTGAAGACAGTTGAAGGGAATGTCAAAATCACATGGCAAAAGTGACCTATAGGCCTTTCTGGTGATTCTTGTTTTAAGTTTCTACTTGATTATATCCAGTGCTGTTCCACTGTAATTATTTGCAAGCTGATTACTCAGTGAATTTTTAAGAATAATGTATTTGAATGTCATAAAGTGAGCTTAGTAAGCTCACCGGCAAGTGATTTAAAATTGTATGTCTGTAAATTATATGTAATTATGGATCCCAGTTAATGAATATCCTAGAATCAATTGAAAATGCACTTGTTAATAGTGACTTGGCATACGATCAGATTGTGTATTTGGCTTCTGTGGCAGGTACAAACATATCATCACAAATTGATTCAAGTAAGAGTAGCACTGAAATCCACAGGAAGACAGATACTGTGTTGAGATAATTTACTTACCCTGCCTTAGCCTGTTTCTCACAGAAAGATTTGTACCTGTTCTTGCTAATGCCATAATCAGTTTAAAAGTTCAATGAAATCATAATTTTGACCTTCAAAAATCAGATGCTAGCTTGTACATGCTTGTGCATATCTAACCACTTTCTTTTTAGCATCACTTAGTGATGAGGACCATGCTCCCTGTATCTGTGGCAAGGGCTATTTAAAATGTGTTTTTAATTTTCCTTTCATAGCCACATGTCTCACAGGAGCGGTTGGATGTCCTAGGGCACCACTGTGAATTCAGACTGGGTCACTGATGCTGAGATAACCGCTCACTTTGGGAAAAAAAAAAACCAACACCCAACAACAAAATGCTGGCTGCAAACTGGTCTCTGCTATTTACGAGGCAGAAGTCTGCAAAGGTCCAGCGGGTTGTTTGCTGATGCCTGGCTGGGTGGATATGCTTGTCCTGGCTTCACAGCAGGCAATCACTAATGTGTCACGTACAAAAGTGTACCAGTGGACATCCAAAGCTTGGACAAAAGGGAGTCCTTACTCCCCACCTTTAACGAGATAAGGAGGCAGGCGGGCAGCAACACCAGGTTCAGGGTGAGTCTGTTGCAGACAGGTTCATAGGCAAGTCCCAATACACTCTGTTTTCCTGTCATTAGCACAGTAGTATTTTATAGGTAAGTCCTGCTTTTCAAAATCAGCAGTTTGGGATCCTTGCCCTTTGTGTTCTAGTTAGCAGCTTTATGTCTTCAACATCCATGGGGATTGATTGCCGTGGTGCTGTGAACAACACCTGTGAGCTGAACAGCACGAAAGGCTTAGCTGCAAGGACTGTAAGTTTTGCTCACGATGTTTTTCTTAATCATCGTCCTGTGAACTTAGAACTAAAGCACTGCTGGCACGGCGCATGCTTTTTGTTTAGCCAATTTGTCAAAGCCAGCATTTATGGCAAGTGATGAAGAACACAGATTTGCTTCTAGCAGTCATGTGCAATGTTTTAGTCCATGAGAATCCCATAATTCTCAGTAGAGTGTGCTTTCCAACAGGTAAAAAGACCTGTGTCTGGGCATAAAGCTTCAGGCCAATGAAACTGTCCACAGGGATTTATTTCTACAGATCCAGCATCAGTTATGATTTTGGGGAACAGAAATTTTGAGATGCAGTAAATTTTAGTAAGGCTTCATTAATGTTTCTTAGATGTGCATTGAAAATAGAGGAATTGAAGTTAGCTCGGTAGAGCTGCTGGAGTCAGCAGATCACAAGTCAATCAATTGGTCTCTCGGGCCTTTCTGTGTTCCTTACACACGTGAGGTGTGACAGACATCTCTGCTTTGTTTCCAGTTCCTAAAAAACACGGTCGAACAGCTTTCAGATAGTTCAGGAGGAAGAAGAAATCTTTAAAACACTTCTTAGCCACAGCCCAAAGCAGTGTGTTTCTATGTTGCTGGAATGATTCTCCCCATTTCTCATTCTTTTTGCCTTAGGTCCATCTACCACGGTTTTCCCTGAAGCCCAACCAAATAATCAAGTTGCAGCCTTTAGATCTCTGTGGGCTGCGGCTGCATTGAGTTGCAGGTCACAGACAACCTGGTACATGTGAGCACCGGCATGGGCTCCTCCAAGCAGCTGCTAGAACTTTGTGATCTTGCAGTACTGTCACTTGTGCCCAAGTGCTGTCTGTACATGTGAGCCTCATTATGCCAAACAAAGAACACACTCTGTCCTAAGGAGCTTACAGTAGGACATCAATATTGATTTTTTTCCCTTCTGCTGCCGTGGTTACTAGGTGAGAAAACATGAAAAGTCATGCTTTATTATTCACATATCCTTCAGCCATAAAGCATTCTGTCTAGCAGCACATCCTCTAAACTTTGGGTCAAATGGCAAGCTTGCACAGGCTGAAAAATCCTTGAAAATAATTTCACATAATGCATTTCATATTCAAGTTATTTTTCCATGGTATTTCTTTATTTTAGGAAAGGGCTTATTTTTTTAAGCAATGGGCTACATGTAAAATGAAAAGACAATCCAGTCTCTCTTTTCTATGTGGTATTGCTGATAATCACCACTTTTCTCATGGTTACTATAGCAACTTGGCATCCTTATCTGCCACCTTTTTTGGCACCTTGAAAAAAACTATTTAAATTCAGTTCCCTGATAAACTGAAAGCTTGGCTTCATGATACCCATGGGAGTATGTAAGTGTAACAACAATACTTGTCATTTTTTCTTATTCGGTGTTTAACTTGCTTGTTAGCAGCTGTACAGGCAGCTCTAACTGTGATGTTTTGGGATCCTGCTGCAGGCGTTATAAACAGCGCAAATGCAAACGCCCTGGATGAAACCCCAGAAACAGCCATGAGCTGCTCTCAAGGGGTCACACACAACAGCCCACGATGCGAAGACCTGAGCAGGCTTTTGCTCTTCTCATGCCACTCTAAAAGCAGTTCTGTTTCCAAGCTTGACAGTTTTCAAGAGCAAAAATAATCTGTGGACGGTACTACGTGGTGAGAATCATTATGAAGGTTCCTGTGGGTAAATCAGTGGTGAATCAACAGCCTTGTGATGCTTTTAATCCCTTTCTAAGTGTGTGCCATCCAGTCTGCATGGCAGATGAGAGTGGACTCAGGCTGGGGATGCTGGAGAGCTGAGAGACATTTTTGGAGGTGAGTTCAAGGCCAATACAAACACCAGGTGCCCCAGCTGAGCACGGCTCCCCAGCAGTTCCGCCTCTTTTTTTGCTCTAAGGGCACCAAAATGGTGCTTGTGGTAAAGGTTGTTTTTCTGCTTCTGTCAAAATGTGGGCCTGATACGTCTCTCTGCTCATGCAGGCCCTGTGCTGGTGTCCTTAAACCTGTCTGCACAGAAGCACCCTCATCACTGGAAGAGAAAAGGAGATGTTGACACCTGAACAGCTGGTGCTGGCTCCCGGCCATCGGGCACAACGGTCCAGCGTGTCTGCAGAGAAGCTGAACACTTTGCTGAAGCCAGAGCGTTTGGTGATCCAGCGCTGCAGCTGTGGCCTCTTCAGCAGATCTCAGGCTTTTTTCTTTGTTATCATGTTCTTTTGCCAGGAGTTTTGAAGAGCAGACAGGTTTGAAAGGTACGTGGTTGCAAAACAACAGAGGAAAAATGCTATCAACAGCCATTAAATGAAAAGCAA